AAATGAAGCAACATTGCAATAGGGATATGGGGATAGTAAAGATTGATGTATTGGTATTGCTGTAGGTTAAGCAGCATTCCCATAGAATAGTAAAAGTTGATGTAGGTTCCTATCTACTCTTCCTACGACATATTTGAGGTTATCCATTTCACAGCTTTGTTTGATTCCAAACATTTGATGTCTCGTCATAGTTGATTTTGAGCAATTCTGTGAGTCAAGAATAAAGCTTTTATTATCTATCTACTCTTCCTAGCAACATGTTTGAGTTTATCTATTTCATAGCATTGTTTGATTCCAGATTCCAGACATTGATGTCTCATCATAGTTGTTTTTGAGCAATTCTGTTGTATAGCTTGAACTGAAAATGGCCTATATTGCTATATTAATGTAGTTATTTGGAGTGAATAACACATTGCATCTCATAGACATGATTAAAATATCTCTTGTACCTGAATATAGTCCAGTCGTGTCATGGCTGTCGATTTTGAAGATGAATACAAGCTATTGATGGTTTGACAGGGATCATGTTGTCCTTGGATAACTTTGACTTCGATAGACATCAGGGCTGGTTATTTTTCTTTGAAAAAAAATTGTATAGGATTGATCTATATGTGCATGTAAAAGATATTCTGAATAACTACTCTGTCTGTTGTTGTGTACTTAATAAGCATGAAAATGTAATGAAAAGCAGGTAGGAAATAGATTCAGCAATGATGTTATCAAACTTACTTTATCTCTTAAATGAGAAACATCCTCTATTTAATCCATGAAGCACCATATTGGTGCTGACAAGCACGTGGACTTTTTAGCATATTTCAAGAATTTTAGCATCTTTTGTAGTTTAGATAATATGTTTGATAAAATTGGGAAAAGCCATTCCAGTTTCGGTGTATTTCTACTTTCATTTTAATCCACATAACTTGTTTTTCAACATAATTTGCCTCAGCTTCCGAAGATATGGCCGCTTGCTTCCTTGTCCGTCAGAGAATGGCCCACCAAGAGTGGAACACTTAGTTGTTAAGGAAGGAGGGCCTGTGCTTGATTATATTAGTAACTCTTTAGATCTCCCTCCACTGTGAGTATCTCTTCTTTGTGCCATTGTCTTTAAGAGGCTGAATAGGATATTGAGGTGCTAGAACATGAATAACAAAGATGTGTTGAATTATGTATATTTCATCTTGAAAGGTTTGTTGCAGATCTTATTCATTTTGGAGCTGTGTATTATGCTCTGGTATGTCCAAAGCCTCCCCCTAGTGCCACTCCTGAGCAAATTAAAACATATAAAGAAGTTACAGCTCCATCAGTTCTCAAAAACCGAGCCTCCATTAAAGGGAAAACTGTTCGTGAAGCACAGAAAACTTATCGGATAACTCGTGCTGATGAGTTTGTTGAGGCTGGAACCTATTTACGTGTGCATGTACACCCAAAACGTTTTCCGAGGTAATCATTTAAGTACCCACGACCAGTTTATTAGATCTATGATTACCCTTCCAATAATGTTGTTTTTTCAATCATTATCAGGTGCTATGAAATAGATTGGAGATCAAGAATTGTTGCCATAACGGAATCCTACGTTATTCTGGACAAACCAGCTGGTACATCAGTATGTATGATGTTGTTCAGCATTGGAATATTCTGCAACTTTTTTTAACCTATGTGCTCCTTTTCTGCTTAAGTTATCACCACGTTCTCCTAGATAATTGATACAAGTCTGAATAAAAAATGTTGTAGTCAATTGAATTCTCTACTAATTTTTATTCTGGAAGCAAAATGTGATAAAACTTCTAGGATCCCCCTTCAACAACAAATCAGAGGAAGATAACCTTCTCCATGGTTTAGAAGTATTTCTCTTTGATTTCAAGTTAGAGGATTTTATAGCACTAGTTCATCAATTAGTTGACCACTGTATTTTTCTAAATGAACTAATTGGTAATATGGAGTGTTTAGGTACATATGAGTTATGAATGTCGAGACATAGACTTTTGTTGTAGAACATGAGCACAAACTAGTCAACAACAGGGGTCCTCTATTCTGTTGATATGGATTCGTGATGGTGTGGACACTTTATGCACTTTCATGACAAGATCGTATATTCTAGAATTAGTATTTTCATTTGACATTTTCTTGCCGCGTTTTATGAGGATTTCTAAGGGTTACTATACATTTCTCTGTTGATTAGGTTGGAGGAACTACTGACAATATTGAAGAAAGCTGTGCAACATTTGCTACTCGTGCATTAGGATTAACAAGTCCATTGATGACTACCCATCAGATTGATAATTGCACTGAAGGCTGGTAAAATATCAATATGGGCTTCCATATCTATTACTCTTCTTTGGATGAAACCTGATTGTGTCATATTTATTTGCAGTGTTGTTTTAGCTAGAACCAAGGACTATTGCTCAGTTTTTCATGGGAAAATCAGGGTGAGCAGTAACTCTAGAAAACTAAAGTGAATTTGCAGACAATTTAAAACCGAAAAGCTAGAAATTTTTGCTGAATGAAACACAATATGCTTTCTGCTGTCCTTGTTAAGAATTTAGTATCAACTGGTCTTATTGTTTTGTTGGTTTGGTCTGCTCTCCTTCTGAAAGCGTATGTTATTTCATCAGGAGAAAAAAGTTAAAAAGCTTTACCTTGCACTTGCTGCTGCTCCTGTGCCGGTTGGAGTCATTACCCATTACATGCGACCAATTAATATTGCACCAAGACTTGTTTCTGAAGGTAGTCCCTTGAAGATAGTACTTGATCCTATTAGTTGGAATTCGTTTTTAGTTGCTTTTAACCCATGCCACAACACTGCCTTTTTCTTGTGGCTGACATGACCCCTTGCTTCCTTTCTTTTTAAGGGAGAAGAATAATTGCACTTGAAGTTCTATCCTTACCCCTTATTTTAGAGAACCTTCTGAATATCTGAACACACCTTCAATTTTATGATTGCTGCCTATAAAAAGTATACATTTTGAGTGTTGATCTTGGACATGCTCTGAAGCCAGCCCTTCTTTTGCATGCAGAATCTGTTGATGGATGGCACTTGTGCCAGCTTGAGGTCCTAGAATGTAAGAAGGTTGCCTGGCCCACAAGCATGACGGAAAGGAGATATAGCATTGAGGATTGTGGGTGGCCTCCTCAAGATTTCGCATATGAGTGTAAAGTCAACCTTCTGACTGGTCGAACTCATCAGGTACCTAAATGAATCTTCTCCTTTTCTATTTCTTTCTTTTTTCCTCTTCTTTTCTACATTAGAGGAGCGTGGAAGTTAAGTACCTTTTTATTCCCAAACTCTGTAATTCATGTGATTCTCTTGCTTTTGCTGTTGGCTTATTTTACTAGCTTCTGGATGGGACTTCCTAGTAATTCACATTGAAAAATATTTAAATGCAATTAGATTATGAAGTAGTAGGTGTGAATGTTGCATTGGGAAGTAAAGCCAATTCCTTAAAAGTTGAGAAAGAGACACGAAATGGAGCCGTTTAGTTTCATTAAAATTGTTTTGCTCATTTGAACCCTCATGGAACTCACCTAAACCAGGCACATGCAAAAGAAGAAAGAGACTTTTACATTGAGTCAAAGTGTTACTGCATATAATAGTTGACTTTGTGATAGGCGTTTTGACCTCTGTACTATTAAATTCCCTATGGTCTTTATGAAAGTTGCCAGACAAAGGAGATGGGAAAGGTGAAAAAAAAAACAGCAGAACAGTAAAAAACAGCAGAACAGTAATAAATAATTCACAATTGATTTTTCTTTCCATTTGATTAACCTGACCACTATTGTCTTACTGACAAGTTATACTCACTATATTCAGATTCGAGCACAGTTGGCTGCCTGTGGTGCTCCAATAGTTGGTGATTCAATGTATTTGCCAGCTGCTGTTGCTGAGATCGTCAATCCTAGGCTTAATCCATTTAGGAAGAATAGTAAAAAATATGCAAATGAGACTGATAAAGCACAGGCTATTGAAGAGTGGATAGCTCAGCATGGGAAAGAACCAGCCGTGGCTATTGGTCTTCAGGCATGTCAGATTTTGTGGGACAATGGAGAGCACTTTTATGAGGCTGGAACTCCTTGGTGGAGGTAGATGATGCTTGGCTATGCTTCTTAGAACCAGAATAACTGATGACTGAATTATGTTGTGAGGTGGGAGAATTTCCCTTGTCAATTTTGACGATATGCCAATTTCAGCAAATAGCACTCATGCAGCTTCTCCACCTGTTTGAAAAATTTTCCACGTATTTAGAAATCTATGCTTTTGGGAAGCCATTGGTCAAAATCGAAATAGGAAAGGACATGATATCCTGATATCGTTGTATAGATTAGATTGATAATGGGGTAGGGTAGGAATAGAATACAAGACTTTGGAGGGCCATTGTGCTTATATTTGAGTTAAGGTTCCAGGTTGATTTCATGGTTTCCTTGCATCAAAAAATTCTTTCTAGTGTTCTTTTTAGTATTCTTTCTTGTGTGTTTATTTTTGAGTTAAGGTTCCAGGTTGGTTTCTTGTTTGTTCAATTACTGCAATCTGTGCCTTGAAATCTATCGTTGTTTTGGTTGCATATTCAAGCTTCAGTGAGGTTTCACAGTCAGATTGTCGTCCTCATGAAATATGCTGGAACTTTCTGTGCTTGTCTTTCTGTAAATATACTCTAATTTGACTTATTGGGAGTGTAGCTGGCGACAGAAATCAGTCTTGGTCCATGTGAAAATACAGGCTTACAAACAACTATAAGATGCCTATGTCTACTTGTCAGATTAACCACAGTTACATGATCCATGACAGATCAAAGTTTGCAGATAAAAGGTGAAATCTGAGTGAGCTGTTAGGTAAATAACAACCGACTCTGCTGCAGTGTGTTCTTTTAACATATCTTATCCTGCTCAACAGCTATGAAACAAGAAAGAACGGCAGGTGATATCGTAGGTATTTCTTTAAATATTGCGCAAGTTGAGGAGTTGTTTTGTGTTTTGCAATGAACTCCTTGTACCAAGTTGCTGATGCTTTAGGAGTGTGTTTCAACTTTCAATGTGGTGTGGTCAACATGACGAGGTCCGAATCTTTTGGTGAATCCATGTAGCCACTCATAGGCATCGAGCAAGGTCCAAACAAAGTAACCCCTCACATCAGCTCCTTTCCTGATTATATCCATCAAAACTTGAGGATAAGATGAAGCTGTGGATTTCTAAACCATATGGTTCATTTTCGGAAGGAATCATCAGTATTAAATGGTAAGTTAAACATCTGGGATAGTCAACATTCACATGCATCTATTTACCTCATGGCTCTTGACAGATAATCCAAATAGTCCCTCAAGTACTCGACTCTCTTGACATCATTTAAGGGATTCATCAAAAGTGGAGTTAGGGTTGGTAACCTCACGGTAACCTGGAACTCGATCAAATCCAAGTCAGCAAATCGATATCTTCCACCGCCCTCCCCAACACAATAAGCTAAAAAAAGAAAGGGAAGAAATGGGGAAAGGAATGACAGGAAAGATACTAAATGGAAAAGCAGAAAACCTCATCTCTAGATGATCACTCACCATTTTCTGTAATAATTATTGGGATATTATTGTATCTTTCCGAGATATGGGTAACAGTTTTTCCATTCCTGGTGGGTGAGATTGTAATGGCTCATCACCTGTCTGTTAAACTTCAGCATTTATGGATGATTCACATATGGAAAATGTAAATTCAAAGCGGGTAAACTGTCTTGCAAGTTCTCCAATGGGGATGCCATCTTTAAAGTTGGTTTGTCTAATGAAACCTTCTGTCCTGGTACTTCCAGGTGAGGGTTCGCAGGAGGAATACAGCAATCTCCAACATAAAAGCTTGTGTAGTGGTTGATGCCAATAAAATCCACCCCGAGTTTCAAATTGTCCGAGTCATTGCTGGAAAATTTTGGTAGAGTAGATCCCGGAAGATCATTCATCTCTTTAGGATATCTCCCAAATGCAATTGGGTCCAAGAACCTGATCAAGTTGATTATCGAATCAAATATATAATTCCTGTACAGGTCACTAAGTTTGTGTACAAGTATGATGTAGAAGATATATAGTTACCAGTTTGATAAGAAGGATTGAGCTCATTCTGCAGCCAACTTGTCTGCTGTAGAGTTGCTTAGGGCCTCAAACCAACCAGTCAGCACAATGATGCCTATGGTACCTCCTTGATTTTTCTGAACAGAGTTTCCGCTGAATTAAACTTTGATGTGGTAAATGGTATCCTATTTATACCTGGTACTTGGCTTTGTATATCTTAACAGGGGCTGCATGAGCAAGAATGATATTGTGCGCTGCAATGAAGGGCTCCTTTTCTGAATCTCCATTAGAGCAGTTTCCCAAAAGGCTTTGAACAACGACCAGGAGGAAAGATTCCAGAACGATATGCAGCAATGACAAATACATTTGTTTCACTGAATGTTACCCAGTACTTTACCCTGTCCCAAAGTTGTTGAAACAGATATCTGCGAAGTATTTGAAGTCTTCCCTGGGAGGAAAAAAAAAAGAAGCTTAATAAACGTTCAATGGCAAGCTGGGATTACAGACATAATGTACGAATGCTTGCACTAAATTGGGGCTTAGCCAAGCTCCATATCTTTCCTCTAGTTCACAAGGAATATCGAAGTGAATCAGAACGATAAACGGTTGTATCCCTGTAAATCAAGATGAGCAAAATTTTACAAGCATTCTAATGAATGGCCTCAGATGAGCATTGAAATTTCTTGTATTTTCATTTCACAGCTCCTCAGGTTAGATCGTGGAGGCAAACCTCTGAGGAGGAGAGCGCTGATATGCAAAATTTACAATGGTCAATCCCTGCAAAATTTATGCTTCCATATCTCCCTTCTGCAGGCATACAAGTTTGAATCAGGGAAATGAGTTTAACTAAATACTAGTAACAGGTCATTGCCAAAGGATTTTTTTTCTTTATTCTTTAATGATAGTTAAATGGTATTAAACAATCAGCAACACACTCCCCTGAAGGAGTTCAAAAGGCAATTCAGCTGTATTTTGTCAAGGCAAACCGTGGGGTTCACCAGAATACCGGTGATATTCATCAACAACAACATCTCCATTGTCTCCATCAATTACTGATCTCGCAAAACTATAATATATATAGCTGTTAGCTGTTTTCGAATTAATTTTCGAACCAATGAAAGAATTTCACATGAATACTACAATTTTGATTTCCAAATTATTGGCCTTTAAACTCAGACTGAACCGATCCGTGATCCTCCTGACCTGAGTGTGTGTGTGTGTGTTTTTTTTTTTCAAATTCCCCACCTTTTCCCTCCAATCAGAACAGTTCCCACGAAAATGCTTCGATGACTAAAATGCCCTTAACAATTATCAGTAACAGCTAAAGGATTTAGTTTGGCTTTCTGAACCTCTCTTCGACTCTTCTGCCACTCTATCCCCAAGGCCAAAGCTGAGGTTGAGGTCCATCACCACCGAACTCAGGCATCCCATCTTCCAGGAGCCCTTAATCATTATCCTTACTGTCCTTTGGTCTTCCTCTTCCCAGAATTTTGCTTCATGTTGAAGAATAGTTTCCTGGTAACACTTAATTCTGCGTTCAATATTTGCACCATTTTCAGAATTTTGTTTTTCGATGATGAATAGGGCCAGGTGGCGTTTTCTTTTCTTTACCTATTTTTAGTATTGGAAAGAACAAGTAGATTGTAAAGTTGTAAACTTGATTTGGGATTTTGAAGTTGGACAAAATGGACAGGTTTTAAGCTCTCTAACTGAATAACTGGGTACCTTAGGGAATGAAATGAAATTTTTTCGCAGATATATTCAAGAGAAAAATTAAAGTTGTCTTCTTTCGTTTACAATCTTTTAATGGGCTTTTATTATTTTGTTTGTTTGTTGCAGTTGTGTAGTGGTGTGTGTTATCTCCATGTTCCAGTACAACAACCCATTTTTATATGTAAGAAAAGAAACAGGTCCATCAAATCTGCTGCTGCTGCTGCAGTTGCTTACAATGCAATTAGTTCTAGTGCTGCTGCTGCAGTTGCTTACAATGCAACTAGTTCTAGTGCTGCTGCTGCTGCTTCAACCTTAGAGATATCATCTGCTTCATCTCCTTCATCGTTCCCACTCTTTCAAACCCCTTCATCACTCCAACCTACTCCTGCCTCCGAGGTAGGTTCAATTTGCACCCTTTTTTTATTGAGTTTCATATTACTTCCTATTAATTGTATATTTTATTTTGTTGATTCACCCTTTGATAAGTCATTTGTGTCCTGTGATGAATAGGGTTTTCATTGGTTGCTCACCTTTTTATTCTCATCATGTATCTTGGGAGTAAGAAAAGCTAATCCTTAGTAGTAACATTATATTGGCAGAAGCTGTAATTCTATAACTACTGTCACCAAACGCTTGATTCTGCTGTTCCTTCTTTCTTGAAATCAATAAACATGAAGAATTTTCTATTCTACTGGGATTTCAAATTGATTATGACGTAGCTTTGGAAAAGGAAGTGACTTTTTTTTGTAAATTGAGAAGTGTAGAGAATGTCGTGCTTATATTGTGCTCTTGGTTGAACTTTGTCATATGGAAAGGGAAAGAGGATTGATGAATGAAAGAAATTATCTGTTTTTAATTTTTTTTAGTAGGGAAGGGGTAGGATTTAAGGAGCAGGGAGGGGGAAGGTGGGATTTGCACCCAGGACCTCTAATTCCTTGGACCACAACCTTAGTCTTTAGACCAAGGTCTCCTTGGCAATTTATTTGTTCATGCATGTATGATTACTTTTTAGTGTGGAATAAGGTCAAGAAAGACATGTCAGCAATTATTGGAACTTGGGTGGAGAAATTTTCTGCAATGTGGTTGTTCCATTTTCTGCCTTCTCCATTCTTCGATCTGTGAATCTTCATATTATTACCTTGCCATATACTTGTCTGGAAATTTTTGGTATAATTATTGTCTCTTCTATTTTTTAACTACATCCATTTGTTTGATTTTATTCTCTATTTTGACTTGAAAAGTTCATTAATTTTCCATTAACAGTTAGAACCGGCAGACCCAGATTTCTATAAGATAGGATATGTTAGGAGTGTTAGAGCATATGGCATTGAATTCAGGGAAGGCCCTGATGGGTTTGGAGTATATGCTTCCAAAGATGTTGAGCCTCTTCGTCGAGCTAGGGTTAGTTTTGCTTCTAGTAGTTGTTATACAATGTACTTAGCTATAACTTAAGTTGTCATTGACTATGACAAACTTCAATACCTTTTGATTTGTTGTTTGTGAATGCGAAACAAAATGATATTCTTTCCATCCAATTATTCATGTGATTCTGCAGGTCATCATGGAAATTCCCTTAGAATTGATGTTAACTATAAGCCAAAAGACACCCTGGATGTTCTTTCCGGATATCATACCTGTCGGCCATCCTATATTTGACATCATCAATTCAACCAATCCAGAGGTAAATTTTTAAGTATGTTGCTCATTCCATGTTTAATCTTTCTATTCACAGCTGACAGTTTCATCATTGCTCATTATATTTTCTTTTGTAGATTCAAGTATTTAGGTAATATTCAGTTACGTACTATTAAATTACTTAGCCATGCTCACTAGAATCATTTTCATCTGTAGGTTTTCTTTGTATTCTAGAATAGGTCATGTATTTTCTTAAAGTCCTAAATATAATATTGGTATTTTGACAGATAGACTGGGACCTGAGGTTGGCATGTCTTCTTTTATATGCATTTGATTGCAAAGACAACTTCTGGACACTGTATGGTGACTTCTTGCCAAGTGCTGATGAATGCACTAGCTTGCTTCTAGCGACTGAGGTTTGTGAATGAGGATCCTAGTAAAAAGTAAATGCCTTATTGCTAACTCAAACGCATTTGGCTTTCTAGAAGTACTATTTTGTCTCTTTATGTGGTCTTTGTCAAGGGCACATGCAAATAGTGGATATTAGATGTACAAGATAGTTTACAATTTGTTTACTGTGTGTGTTTTATAGGTGGACTCTGTAACCTAATTCAGAATTATTGTGATGTTTTCACTACAGACATAACTGTGTCTATATATATATATATATTTTGCTTTCAAGTATCTCTTAACTTTTGCATCCTGTAGGTTGAAAGCATTGGTTCATGTGAAAGCTATATTTTGTGGACTTAATATGTCAGATAATGGAGCAGAAAGTCATTTTGAATCCTTTATGCTACTGACATTTATGTCATGCTTTGGAGCTCATAATTCATCTTAACATATTGTTGTATGATTTTTCATTTATGGTTAGGAGCTGTATGTTTCTGCTGAGATTTACTCTCTACCTGTTCAATGCTAAATATTCCCTGACTTTTGAGTTCTGGAATTGTCTACTAGTATTATTTGCTTTATGTGGTTCTAATACTGCCTGTCACTCCCTCCCGTGAGTCCATAACTATTCTGTTGCTTCTCATTTTGCTGTCTGACATATAGTTCTCTTTTTGTTTTCTTTTTATTTTCAGGAGGACCTTTTGGAGTTGCAGGATCACAATCTTGCTTCCACTATGAGAGAGCATCGACAACGGGCATTAGAATTCTGGGAAAAGAATTGGGTATTCTGCAGTCTTATCTGCCCTGTTTATCATCAGATTTTTAGTATAGTTAGTTGTTATTTTAACTTTTATCTGTGTCTAATATGTTGACCTGTTCTTAATTCATTCAGCATTCTGCTGTTCCTCTTAAAATAAAGCGTCTTGCTCGTGACCCTGAGAGATTCATTTGGGCAGTGAGCATTGCACAGTCTCGATGCATTAATATGCAAACAAGAATAGGTGCTCTGGTTCAAGATTTAAACATGTTAGTTCCTTATGCTGGTGAGTTCTTCAGCTTATCTTTTTTTATTTTCTCATACCACAATGTGTCATTAGTTGATATGCTAGAATCATGTGGTCCTTCAGGTTTTTATTTAGATATGCAGCTCCAGTTCTGAAGCTTTGTATGACTTTTGGAAATTTATCTTGAATTGCTGGAGTAGAGCCAAAAAAAATGTGGAATAAGATAATTTTCTTAATCTCTTCCTACAAGAAAAATGAAAATCTGTGGGTACAGGGTGCTTCAACTGCAATTCTGTTGTAATAGAGTAGGAAAATGAACAGATTAGTAGGACAAACATCAAAAAATGAACATTCTTTATAGCCTAAAACTTAAAAAAATGTAAGGAGGTGATTGTTTGATTAATTTCCTCTGGCAGTTTTGAAGGACAAGGAGATGATTAAGGACCTCTTCGTGACATGAAATTTTTCACTCGGTTAAGCAAGACTGCTAATATGTCTTTGTTAATTAGAGTCTCTTGAGCATTGTTATGCCACTAAATCTTGCACTTTTTCACTTGCATTATGTCATTTGTATGCCAGAGAAGATCAGAATTAGAGGCTAATGTTTAAAGAGTGGAAATGTTGAGAAATCATAAACTAATGGAATTGTTGTGAATATGTTGAGAAATTATAGATTAAAAAATCTTAATATATGAGTGTAGTGATTAATTACTGAGGGTTCTTATCCAGATATGCTAAACCATTCATTCCAGCCAAATTGCTTTTTCCACTGGCGTTTCAAAGATCGCATGCTTGAGGTGATGATTAATGCTGGACAAAGGATTAGAAGGGGAGATGAGGTAAATGCTTGCCAATTTCCGTGCTAAATGGTTGATCTGGATTGAGTGATATATGTTAGTAGAAGCAGCATGGTGATTGTAGTTCTTTGTCACATTGTAGAAGGCATGAATCTTTTTTATGATTTAAAATTTGTACTAGTTGTTGGCATCCTAATTGAATTCTGGTTCATGCATTATTAGGCAATTGATGTCCAAGTCACAGTTTACCTCTTAAGTTACTAAAAGATTGTTTAGGGATGGTAATAGATGTAAAATCTACTTGCAGCCTCCAAGTCCTGGCATTTAAAACTTGGAAAACAAATTTTCTTTCTTGTGCTGGCTTCAATCTGTCTTTGGTGTTATTGGCTCAACTCACACCAGGATGAGAAAAGAAAATGTTCCTTGATTTTCATGCTTAAAATTTTCCAACATTTCCCAATAAAAAAGAAAGAAAAAAAATCGAAGAAGACTGTCAAATTTCTCTAATTAATTATCAGAAACTATAATATGTGATATAGCAGACCGAATACCAATAAGCAAAAACTGAATATCCCTTACATTGTGGTCTATTATACTAGCTGTTGCAGACTTGAAGTCTCTTTACTAATAATACTTGGTTGTTGTTTGCTCATACCAATTTCTCTACTTCTTTTGCCTGCATTAGAGTCTACGCCTATTTATAAAGTGCATACTGCAGATATGATAGGCTGTTACTTTCCTTAAACCTTTGCAGATGACTGTCAATTACATGAGTGGATGGAAGAATAACTTGTTTATGCAAAGATATGGCTTTTCATCGCCTGTGGTAATGGTTCTTTTCCTTGCTCTGCTTAAAAAATTGCAATAGCTGTTACACTATTGTAGATAATGTCATTGTACTTGCTTTCCAATAAAGCAGATCTTTTCCATTGCCATGGTTGAAAACTTTATCATGGGCAGAACCAAGAATATAGTAATCTCTGTATTGGTCCCACAGCGATAATTTTACTATTTGCCTCCATTTTGTTTTATTTTTTTTTTTAGAAAAAAGGGAGGTAATGGCTTGTAACATTCTTGTTTCCTGATTGTTTGCAATAGGCTTAGAATGTTTGAGAATATTATTTGATTTCAACTTATGAAGCAAAAGCGAAGTCATTAAATTTAACTTTTAACTTAAACATGTAGTACGCTAGTTGCCAAATTAGAAATTACAGTTGTGTGCTTGGGTAGGATAGAAAACTTTGGCATAAGAGTCAAATAGCTTTGTTCCAATAGACACTATAGATTTCAGAATATGACACAACCTTTAAGATGTCATGATCCGTGTGCCTGTAATGAAGTCTCAACACTTGCACAAGTGTAAACTCAAATTAAGAGGTTTAAAGATACAAAGAGGTAGTGACTAAATTTTCTTTGATCCACCAGTTCTGTAATCTGTCTTCTGTGAGGATAAAGAAGGACAAGAGGAAATAGAAACAAAAAATAAAAGAAAATTTTGAATAACTCAAGGATTGGGAGTTAGTACTAATTCTAATTCATGATCTTATCTAGTGACTTCATTCCTTAATTTCATCTTCTTTTCTAATGCTTTTATGTGTAGACAATGCTGCTTCTCTCTCTTTTTCCTTCTTTCTTTTGTCTTTTTTGTTTATTTTTATTTTTAAGCATTTTTTGTGAGAACATCATATATGATATATCCTAAGGGCATGGATAATGGGGTGTATAATGGTAGTGATGCGTGTCAAACCTTGGCATATTGCCTGAGGAAAGATGGCTTTAAGCAGTTGGGCTAAACTCTGAACTCAGGAAATGCAGATCTTGGTATCTTAAATCCTTATTAGCTCCGCAGTTCTTCGTAATAGCTTTCTGGTACAGCTAAATTGCCTATATTTCCACCGTGGATTTGATACCCTTCTTTTTGGCTTTGAGTTTTTACTTTTTCTATTTTTAAAATTTTTTTTGGTATTAATACCTTTCATATATTATTAAATATGCAGAATCCTTGGGATGTTATTCAATTCTCTGGTGGTGCTCGGATTCATTTGGATTCTTTCTTGTCAGTTTTTAACATATCTGGCCTTCCGGAGGAATATTACCACAACAGTATGGCTGATGGGATACTTTCATTTGAGCTTTTATCTTGAATTTTTAGGATTAATTTATCGAATCAACAAAATTGCTAGCAGGTCGGTTGTCAAATAATGGATACAATTTTGTTGATGGAGCTGTTTTAGCAGCAGCTAGGACATTGCCAACATGGTCAGATGGAGATGTCCCTCCAATACCAAGTATAGAGCGGAAGGCTGCAAAGGAGTTGCAAGAAGAATGTCAGCTAATGCTTGCCGAGTACCCCACAACTGCCAAGGAAGATCAGCAGATTCTAGGTATCATCAGTATGAAAGATCAAGTTCCAATAACAGAAATGCATATAACCAAAAAAAAATTCTGCTGCCTTTAAACACTGGGGTGATGAAATAATTGTTTTTCACCTGAGAACTAGATTTGCAGAAAAATTTGGTCTCTGTCTTGGAACTTTGAAGCTTCTAAGATCCAAGACAGAATCGTGCGAACGGAAAAAACTTGATCAAAATGTAGTATTTTTGTCACAAAGTGGCTGAAATTTGGCCTCAGATGTTTCACGTTAGAAGTCTAATGTCCTCGTTATTATTTTCTTGCATTGTCTTTGACAGATTCTATGCCTGAAGCTAGGAGGACGCTGGAAGCAGCAATAAAGTATGTAACCACCAGTATGCATACATTGCTTTCCTTACTGTTCATCAGAACTATGAGATTTACATGACATTATATTCGTGTTTGCAGGTATAGATTGCACAGAAAATTACTCATAGAGAAGGTCATCCAGGCATTAGATGTCTACCAAGAGCAAATATTGTTTTAACGCGGACAAATTTAGGAGGTTTAGCCACTTTTTCTAAGTTGGAAGGAGCCGAAACAGACAATATTCATCTGAGAATGAGTGGGGTGATCCCTTCCTCCCCTCCCTGGTCTCTGCATCTTTTCTTCCACGGATTGTTTCTTCAGGAGGATGGGGGAGTAAGGACTAAGGATTTGGATCCTGATACCAACAATGTGACTGCCACTGGGCTGTCACTTGCGGTGCCTCTGCCTCGACAGCTCTCACTCTTTTGAAGCTTGACTAATCCTGGGGATTCTTGGATCTCCTAAACTTCAACTAGAACATCCTAGCTGTTGACTTTGCAAAGAAGGAAAAGATCAGGTTGGAAAACAAAAATGAAGAGTCGAAGTTGTATATTTGGAACCTTTTTGCCACCACACTGGGGGACAAAACTAGATGATAATCTATGACATCCCAGAATTAAGGGCAAAACTGCAGTAGGCCATATCAGTAAAGAATCTGAATCTCAATATGAACCATACCCTAGAGCACTTGTCCCCCTCTGTGAATCGCAGAAAAGGATGACAAATTAAATAGAAAAACAATTCTTCTTCCTCGGGCATAATTACGGGAAATCTGTTTCAATTTTTTGACCTGGCAGGTAATCAAGTAGTGAACTGAAGGAAGAGTCATGTAATAACAAAGGTAAGATAATTCTTCTTTATTCAACAATGTATGAAAGAAAGATTAATCTACAATACACTGATATTGTATACATTTTCACTATTAGATGTACGACATATAATTTGAATTTGAATCTATAACTCAAATTTTGCACATGTATCGTATAACCAACCATAATAGTGTATACATCGTTAGTGTATATAATATTTATTCAAAAAAAAAATCAAATGAGCAAGATTTTATATATACGTCATATATTCAATCGTGGTAGTATATACACCTTTAGTGTATATAAAATTTACTCAAAAAAAAAATCTAACTGAGTAAACCCAAAAACAACTTGTTTGCGTGGTCATGTGAAGACCATGGCATGAGATTTAAAATGAGAGTAGCATGAGATTTTTTTTTTTTAAAAAAAAAAAGAAGTTTGATTTCTCGTGTAGATTACGATGGGAACATCGTACAGTCCCCATTTCCAAAGCCATCCAAAGTCCAGCCAGTTTTCTAGCTATAGAGAAGGAAATTTAACTGTACTCACTAGGAACACCATTCAATGTCCAGCTAAGAACAGACGAATTGCATTTTATTATGATGCACTTTCGCCGAACAGGATAAACAGGTCCATTCAAAGTTTTCCATGTACATCAATAGTAATGCATGTCGAGGTCCATATAGTATTTTAAATAAAATAAAATAAAAAAAACCTACCGTCTGTAATGTGCTAAAGTACAATTAAAGACTGCCTCCAAAAAACTAAATACTCATTTCTCTAAGCTGTGGTAAAGACAGTAGTGTGCAAAACAAAAAAATGGCGCTAGTTGATACGATGCAGATCAGAATAAAAACGAGGCAAAACTGGTATTCAGTATCCAACTGCTTTCACATAGCTTATAATGTGTCTAGAGATTTCGGTAAACTTGAATTTTTAATATTTGCATTATAAGACATTTTTAGACATTCTCAGCTGCATCTCTTTGTGACTCTTCTGACCTCCCTGCAGCGGCCAGCCTCTCTGCTGCTAATCTCTCTTCGAGTGCGCGAGCACCCCTTTCCCTGCAATTGAACATTTTTCATTCATCATCTTATTAAAGTGAGAGTTCAGATTCCACAACCAATTTTTACTTCGTACTTCCATCAGTTCTTTCTTTAATAAATTTCTTCAAGAAATGTATTCTCTGTTAAAAGGCTTCTATTAACTGATATAAAAGGAAAAATCATTCAATCAGCTTTTAATCTCAGGTTATACCGAGCTGAAGAGTTTTAATTCATGTCAAAATCTACCACGTGAGATAACCTAGACAACTTATCTGATTGATGAAATCCTCAACATATGAACAAGTTCTGAGAGAAAAGGAACTCCTCAAGGCATTATCCCTGTTACAAATGATTATATGAAGCACCAAGAAGAGTTAAGCATTCGTTATCAATTATCAGCTCTCCTTATTCAACTTGCAGAAACTCTCGAATGTTTCTCTTCCGAGTCATCTTTTTCTTCTACTAGTAGTCCATTACCTATCCCATTCATAACACCAAAATTGAACCGCTCCACCAAGTACCATCAAGCATGATGTTACTTCTGCTCTAATTACATCAGTCAGATAAGTGTTTCAAATCTACGTCCTCAAAAAGAACAAATTGCAGAAAAGATTGCCTTGTGGTAGTAGTACACCTTCAAAAAAAATGAATTACTATACCTGAAAAAACAAACCTATCCTTTGCACCCATTTTAAAAGTTCCATTCCAGATCAGAAGGCTATTGTTTGACTAAAGCTCATTTAATCTCATCCCTTTTGAGTTAATTATTGCTTCCACTAAATAAATAACGGCACAGGTTACCTCCTCCGAGATGCCTCGATAGGATCAGAACCAGGCAGTGGCTCACCCCCCAAGGTATGACCCCTGGCCTCATCAGAAGTTTCAGATCTTCTTCCACAACATAATCGCCCAAATATTGTAGCAATGGGATCAATTACAGGTCTGCAAGCCATTCATCAACGTATAGTATCAAGGAAAGTAAGGGAATGAAGTGCAAAAACTGAGCTGAATACGGAAAATTGCAACTCGCATTGCTTGCCTTAAAAATTCAGGGAAGAATGTAGAGAATGCAAACTCATCACTTGGATCACCCCTGAGTTTTGTTTCAGGTTTACTTTGCCAATATCTGAGGTAAATCCAACCTATATATGCACCAAATACTAAAGTTGGGAGGTATGATGCTGAATCTGGTGTAAAAAAGCTTGCAGCAATGGACACCAATAACATGAGAGAAGGCAACCACTGCAGATAACCATAACAGATATACAAGAGGATGTCATACAATATTCTGAACCTCTTCTTTGTATATGAATTTTCCAAACATGTTGAAAATTATCACTCAAGTACTCTCAAGTTACATACTTTTGCTTTTAATTTCAGCACAGGCAGCTCTTGGTCAGGTATAATTTGCTTAATGCCGACAAGAAATCCTGATAGAATCCCTTGAAAGCCAGAAATTGGCATATAACTACAAAAAAGGCAAATAAAAGAAATCAGATTGTTCCATGTTAACAGTCAACAAGATGGCATATGGAAATCAGAATAATTTTGCGAGGCATAATAAAATTAAAGTTTCATACTTATATTTGAAATTTTAGTATTATAAGATATATAGCATCTAACATATGTAAACTCCAACAATGTTTCTGCATAACAAGTAAATCTTGAAACGCTTACAGGTAATTTTCCTGCCTTGTTATGTAGTACAAGCAAATGGCCGTGATGAAAACACAGACAGAAGTTAAGAAATTAACCACAAAGATAAACTTTAAGAATTCTCGAGAACCCCATATTGGTTCAAGCAGTTTTCCAAGGAAAAGGAGACCAAGAGTGCTGATGACCACCTGAAAAATAATTATATCATTAACATAGATCTTTTACAAGGTAAAAGGAAACAAAGAAATGACTTCTCTAAAATATTAAAATATCTTTCTAAGGGGGGTGATGATGAAGATATGGAGCACAAGGCGACAGAAGGGACAAAATACGCACTCCATGCACAGATTGCTCAATGTAACCGGCAGTTATAAGATTCCAAGCAAAAGGAATTGTCCTGCAAGAATAGGAAACAATAAAGTTTCAGCAATGAAATACTACTTCCAGATCCAGATATGGCCGATACAAGATTTTTTCTGGACAAGACAGACTACTAGCTAGCAGACCATGGACATATGATATGGATCAGAAACGACCAAACATGACAGAAACTCTTATATGAAAATTAAAAAAAAAAAGCCTTAAAAACAAGGATTCAGAGTGTTTATCGGTGTCAGCGACTACTTTCTCCAAATTAAGCGTCTAATATATTGATAAAGCTGTGCAGTGGACGTGGAAAAGTAATTAATTTCCATAAGCTCCCATTGGCATAATACTAAAATCACAGACCAAAAATGTATGGTTGTTAAGGAAAACCAAACCCTTCCAAAACCTACAATGGCAGGTGCTTCCCTGGATAGGCTTGACCTTATTTCAAATACTACAACCATTTATTCAATTAACTCCAGTTGGAAATTCACTCCCTGACAGCCTTACTGATTAATTTTGCAGATCACATTCCATAATTCAACCAAATGCAGAAAAGAATAAACATATAAATGAAATTAGGCAAAGGCTAAGCAGTAATTATCCAATTACCGAGCTTAGTATTAACATATATTGTATCGCAACAAAGAGGAGGAGGAGGAGAAATATGAGTACTTGGCGGGGATAAGAGCAAGATATGAAGAAGCAGTAGGAATAATCTGCACAACAATGTGGCCGCCCACAAGCACCACGGCAAGCCCTTTACACAACTTAGTGAAGCCCCCTGTCAACACGCCCTAATTCCAAATACAACGCACCCAATTCTCAATCAATTTCACAGATCTAAGTTCAATAAGGAAAACCAAACCCTTCCAAAACCTACAATGGCAGGTGCTTCCCTGGATAGGCTTGACCTTATTTCAAATACTACAACCATTTATTCAATTAACTCCAGTTGGAAATTCACTCCCTGACAGCCTTACTGATTAATTTTGCAGATCACATTCCATAATTCAACCAAATGCAGAAAAGAATAAACATATAAATGAAATTAGGCAAAGGCTAAGCAGTAATTATCCAATTACCGAGCTTAGTATTAACATATATTGTATCGCAACAAAGAGGAGGAGGAGGAGAAATATGAGTACTTGGCGGGGATAAGAGCAAGATATGAAGAAGCAGTAGGAATAATCTGCACAACAATGTGGCCGCCCACAAGCACCACGGCAAGCCCTTTACACAACTTAGTGAAGCCCCCTGTCAACACGCCCTAATTCCAAATACAACGCACCCAATTCTCAATCAATTTCACAGATCTAAGTTCAATATGTCAGTAGAGCCTAAAAAATAAACATAAACTTGCGATATATGTACACTTACGCCGCCGGATAGTGGTGGAGTGCTCATTGCTCAGAGGCTTTTTGGCTTCCACCGGCGGTCTTTTCAGTTTTTAACTCCGATTAGATCGAGCTATAACGCTGCAAATTTATGCTAGGGTTTCTTTCTCTACTCTTTTCTAATTTTGCAGATTTTTATGTATTCTCTGAGTAATGATTCTACCAATAAATTTCTACTCCGATTTTGATTGATAATTCAGCTCCTCCGGCTTTCTTAGCTCTCAAGGTTTAATAATGATCGTCTTTTGCCTTTGAAATAGATGGATCACGCAAAATTGCCTGGTCAGTCCCTCAAGTATTTATAAAATCTAATTTGTTTACCCATAGTTCTTTATTTTTTTAGGACAAAATTTAAAATGTTATCTACTATTGTCAATTTGTTATTGATGAAAATAATTTTTTTTTTAATGACAAATACTTTGAATTATATCCAACGAGTTCTACTCTGCACACCGTTATAAAATCTTTTTTTTTCTTGAGAAAAGCACGGAACATATTGTTTCTATTCAAAGAAATGATTAAAAAAAAATGAGATAGTGTATCGTAGGACGAGCGATTTTCTTGTTTCGACTCAGAGAGAAGCTCACTCTCGAGTAGTAGTACTGTGTTTTAGCCATGAAAAGGGCAGTGCCATATGCTTTTCACAGGTTTCTATCGTTCATTAATTGTCATTTTTAGCTTATTATTGTTTGACATGGAGAAGTTAACAACTAAGGATCTTTTTAGGGAAAATCGTTCAAAACGTCCCCCACATTTTGAAAAATAACTTTTTTCATCCTTCACTTTTAAAAATGTAATTTTACGTCCCTTACAAATTCACATTGATCAAATTTGGTCCCTACTTAGGTTTTCGACTAGTTTTTTGTCGGAATTCACTACGTGCCTTCCACGTGATTATATTTTAAGGGCAAAATTATCAAATCAAATTTTAGATAATTCGATTCATAATCTCTCACATTTCATAAAATAAATTTTTTTGTCCCTTTCATTTCACAAAATGAATTTTTTCATTCTTCACATTTTTCAAAATGAATTTTTTCATCTTTTATTTTAACATGTGTGTGAATAATTTTTTTTTAAATCCATGTATATATCTATTTGATTTCACCTGAACAGCACGAATAGCATGTGAAATCAAATAGAGATATATTACATATTATTCGTACTGCTCAAGTAAAATCAAATAGATATATACATCGGTTTAAAAAAATTGTTAGTTTTTCACTTATATTCATTTTCTTTTACTTGAAATTTGAAAATAAAGAAGAAATTTAATCCTAAATATTATCGAGTGTTTATATCGAATTAAATTTGGACAGAAAAAGTAAACAAAAGAAAAGTATGACAAAAAGAAATTAGTGATTGGTATTTTCAAATTTTAAGACAATCACAAGGCAAGTAATTCAACAATTGGTCTTAAAAGTGTCGAATAGAAATTTCAGATTTAAACTGAAATTTGTTAATTTGTTAGCACAATTATAGAATTCGAGTTAGGACCCATTAATTAGATGACCTTATTATACAAATCAATAAATAAATTATTACCAAAAGAGAAATGTCACAAATATTGAATATGTTCAAATGGTGAAATCATATAAATATATACACCGGTTTCAAACAAAATTATTAGTTTTAAACCCCTATAAATATATATTGAATAGCATATGTATAACTACGATTAGTATTTTTAGATGAAATCCAATAAAGATAAATTACATGTTATTCGTACTGTTCAGGTAAAATCAAATAGACATATACGTGGGTTTATAGAAAAAAAGTTATTCATACACATGATCAATGAGGGATGAAAAAATTCATTTTGAAAAATGTGAGGGATGGAAAAATTCATTTTTTGAAATGTGAGGAACGAAACAATTCATTTTGTAAAATGTTAGAGACAAAAAAATTTATTTTGTGAAATGTGAGGGACTATGAATCAGATTATATAAAAATTCGATTTGACAATTTTGCCCTTAAAAAATGATCACATGCAAGTCACGTGGTAAATTCCGACCAAAAACTAGTCAGAAACCTAGGTGGAGACCAAATTTGATCAATGTGAATTGTAAGGGACGTAAACTTACACTTTTAAAAGTGAGAGACGAAAAAAGTCATCTTATAAAATATTAGAGACGTTTTGAACGATTTTCCCATCTTTTTAACCATTGCAGGTTGGGCCACCCCATAGAGTAGGTTTCCCCTCCCCTTAGGAGTAGGAGTAGGATAGGCTAGGCTAGATGTGCCGTTAAGCTAAAAAAAAAAAAAAAAAAACCATTGCAGGTAACTAGAAATGTTTTTTCACATCGTTAAAGAATGCTTATGCTCAAGTGATAGTGTGATCAATTCGGCCTAAAGAAGCAAGTTAAGATCCAAGTTCAGACTGGATAACAAAGGCACTAAAATTAGCTGGCTGTCTTGTCTCAATTCTCAATGGACCAAAAGATCCATGCTCAAACTGGAAAGAGGTCAATCACGGAGGAAATAGAAATTGGTAAATGCAAGAACAATTAAGCACTCTAAACCAATATGGTGATTTCTCACTCTTTTACACTGTTAAATCTCCTGAAACTATACAGAATATACAACGTCTGCTATGTTACAACTAAACAGCATGAACAGTCGGCCTCTGTTGCCTGACAAATTGCAGACACCCATACAAACACGTCATATAACTCTCAAATACAACTGAAGAGTAAGCAGCTCGATCGCCTCCATTCATAGGTTATGCAGGTGCCCAGGTGTAATAACAAGTATACAGTACCACTTTAACTCGTGTTAGCTCCTCAAAGATGAACCATTTCCAACAGAACTGCTTCTATCCACCTCAACCCTCGTCTGAAAAATTACCTCGATCGATGTCAGGACCCCTTGAGGCCATTGGAAAATCATACGCCGACAGCAATTCTCTTAGGGGCAAGAGATATATGAGCCAAACTGGCTTCAAAGAGGGTAACCAACACCCGATGACATGCCATTGCAGATGCTGTGACCAACATAATAAATGAAGTCCAGTAGAACCTAAGCATCAATATTGGATCCTTCCTTGCAGAATCTAGTATCTTGAACAAAATAATTTTTATCCGTCGATCTCTTAAAAGGGACTCATAATCAATCATTGGTGTTATTCTAGAAGATGAATCTATCTCAATGTTGCTAGCGCCTCTACCCAACTGCACTTGGGGACTAAATTGTACAACCTGAACACCATTCCCTAAAACCCTGCTTATCCACTGATAAAGTATATCTGCGATGACTCTACAAAATTGCTGACGCATGGAATTTGCCTCCTTTGACACCATAGCTCTGACTAATGAAGTTCCATTCTGTGTGTTGAAATGCAGAATCAAGCTCAAGTTAAAGGTTAGATGGCATAAACGACAAGGTCACACAAAAGGGAAGGCTAGCTCAGAATATGACAACTATTATTCCCCAGTAACAAACCCAAGTTAAAACTTCATACTTGCATCTGCCATCAAATTGTTCGACAGTCAACAATGTTGTTCAAGAGAGTTTCGTGCGTTTATTTTTATTACAGCAAACACCTTTTGATTCAACAATTACAGTTGGTTGACCAAAGAAAACCAACAAGTCAGAATCTTCTACCTCAAACAAGTTACTGCACTCCTTTCACTCTATCCCAAGTAACAAATATGTTTCAAATTAACAAACTTGAACTTAGCTGGAAAAATAGCTGATTTTCATATCATTTGATTAGTTCAAGAATTATAGAAGTTTGAACAGAATAAATTGGTGTAAACCAAAATGAGATAAAAAATCAAGAACTACAATGCAAATGGATTATGCTCATCCTTCTACCCTACTTAACGCATCTTTAATTGCCTTCACAAGATTACCATGAAGATAAGAGTGATATTTAACCAGCCAATGACAATGCAAACATTGAGGAGATATTTGTGAAGAAGAAGCTTGAAGCTGAACGATACTTACTGCAGTCATTAGGAGTCTTCTAAGCACATAGCCATCCTTTGAAGGTAAGAGTCTCAAAATCAGGTTTGCTACATCATGTTCACCAGAGACTCCAATTGAAGAAGGGTCACGAGATGTTTCAGACTTTGATGCCGCCACCAGGTGCAATCCTTTTCTGGACAGAGGCAAGAAACTTGATTTCAAATCCACCAAAAAAGTGATGAAAAGAAGGCAATAACATATAGATAAGACATCCTCATAAATATCAAAGAAGGCAAAGACCTAAAAGTCAATTATCAGACCGCCAATTTTGGAACCGTGTCCTTTTCAATCTCAGGACTTGGAGGCAGAAAAGGACTGCTGTAGAGTGGTTCTTCAGGAATCAAAATCTCTCTGCTAGATGACTAATTAATTTTGGGTTGATGGGTACTTCAAACCCAATGCGTTGCACCAGAATGACAGATGAGAATGGAAACAGATGTCATAATCAGAAAGGACTGGGCTAATGCTTACCATCTGTCAATTGGAAGTTTCCTGAGTTGGGTAATATAAGTTGTTTGGACAACTGACAGCTACCTTCCTTAAGGTTCACCATAATTATAAAAACATGACCATTTGTTAATAAAATATGGTGTCCTCGTTCAAACTTATCAGATTTCATATATTCTGACATAAACACTCCAATGCAAATTCAGCACAAAAGACTAATTGTAGTTCCAGATGAACCTTCTAAACACTTTAGAGAGGATAGGAGTTGTAATATTAAAGAGAACTTTACAAAATTGACTAGTGAATCAATAAAATTTCATAAACAAGATGGGTCTCTTGTGTATCATAGTAAGCAAAAGCAATTACTGCAATGTCTTCTATCTATACTAATAGCCAATAAGAGAGAGATATTTTTGTTGAATCTTTGAAAACATGACAGAGAAGCACATTTAAAAAAAAAAATTTTGAATTGAAATATTACATTTGATAAGAATGGCTTATGAATCAGCAATCCTTCAAAAGCACCCTCCACAATAATGTTTTCATGTTTACTTTGGAATATGTAAGAAGAAAAACTGGAGAGACCAAGAGGCCAAAAAGCAAAGTCAGAGAATGTATCATGCAAAATGTGCAGATTTAAGTAATAGAAGCTTGAACCATATAGAGAAAGTTTGCTCCACTGTTAATGAATCAAAGAAAGACACTAGTCAGTATACCTTGCAGCTCCAACTCTTAAGAAAAGAGCAAGCTTTTTCCATTGAAATTCCTTTTTCCTGTTGAACACAACCTATCAAGGGACACAAAAAATTTAAAAAAAATCAAGACAG